GTCTCAGGCAGTGTAGTAAGTTCATGGGTGTTGTCTTGAAGTGAAGATATTTCCTCGTCCATTGCTTTCTTCCACTGAGGTCACTCTTGAGACATTATAGCTTCTTGGTAGGTGACTGGTACTGGTTTGTGTGACACTCGGTAGCAATGATAAATGAAGCTTTTGTGTGTTACGCTGGAGATACTGTCGTCTAGTTCATCAGTAACGTAGTCATCTAGATGTGAGGGTTTCCGTCTTTCTCGAGCTGGATATCTTCTTTCTTCACTTATGTTCTCTGGTGGCTTATCTTGGTTTGTTGGAAGTGGTTTTTGCGGAAGTCTTGTCTCCACCAAGATGTCTTCTTCATCTGAGCCTTGCTCGATACTTGATGGTCCAGCTACATTGGGCAAGTTTTCCATAAACTTGACACATCTTATCTTTTTTACTGTTTGGGAGTCCTTAAAGTAAATTAAGTATGCTGGGTTCTGGTCATCACAGCCTACAAATATCCCTTCCTTACTCCTGGGATCAAGTTTCTTTTTCTCCTCTTCATATGCAAAACATCTTACTCCAAAAACATTCATTCTGCTGATGTTTGGCCGCTTTCCAGCGAGCATTTCTGCTGGAGTTTTCCGAGTTCTGGGGTTATAGCACCTATTGCTTATGTAGCAAGCAGTTTTCACTGCATAGCTCCACATATCCTTGGGTAATTTGGCATCAATCAGTAAACATCGAGCCATATCAAAAATGGATTTGTGTGACCTCTCAACTGTCCCATTTTGATGTGGAGAGTGGGGTGCAGAAAACTCTTGTTTAATCTTATTCTCTATAAGGAGTGTTCTGAATTCATTATTTGTAAATTCCGTTCCATGGTCACATCTCAGGCTTTTTATCCTGCCATAACGTGCTGTTTCTGCCATATACCTCTTCATGGCTTGTACTGTATCATTCTTACTCCTTATGAGGTAGACTCTAAGAGCTCCTGAGTAGTCATCAATGAAAGAGATACCGTACCTGAAACCTCCTTTAGCTGCTGGATCAATAGGTCCTACTACATCACAGTGGACTAAATCTAAAGGCTGCTTAGCCTTTTTGTCAGGCTCTCTACTTCTATACTGTGTCATTTTACCAAGAGCACATGTGGTACAGTTGAACTTATCTTTCCTCAAAATATGCATGCCATTAACAGTTGCTTCAAGTTTTTGCACATCAGTCACATTACAGTGTCCTAGAATTGTATGCCATTCCTCTAGGGTGTGCTTAGCCTCCCCTAAATTGACCTTGTTGAACTTATCCATATGAGAGTTCGTATGTTGCTTACCTCTACGTAAGTAGTACAATTTGTTTTTCTCAACAATATCAAATACTGTCATCCTTGGTAGTTAGTGTACTACCATTTGGTGAAAAAGTAATGCTGTGTCCACTCTGAACTGTCTTCCATACTGACATGATGTCCTGCTTAAATCCTGGTATGTATAGAGCATCTTTTAGTAAAACACTTCTCGATCTGCCGTTCTGATCTAGAATAAAATCTTTGACATCATCCTTGCACATTTCCTTGTTGCCGCTGGCCATCTGCCAACTCAATGTAATGGTTTTGTGGATCAAAGGACTCTTCAAATCTCACAAATTTTGGTTTATTTATTTCTATATGTGTAGTGCAACCACTGTCAATCATGATCAAACTTTCATCTGCTTCTAAGCCTGATACATTTTGTTATTACTCCTCCTGGGGTTCTTTGTTCTACTACATTCACTAGTATTGTGAGTTCTTGAATTATGTAATTCACACCATTTCTTGACATTTTGAGGCTTATTCAGGTTGTTTCCTCTTTTATATTCACCACCTTTGTAGCATTTTGATGCAAAATGGCCTGGTTCACCACACTTGAAGCATCTCTTGTTTAAATGTATTATTACCTTGGCCAGCCATTACTCTCTCTGTATCAGAATTTCCTTTGAGAGTATCTTCGTAAGTTAATATAGCTGCCTTTAACCCACAATAATCAAATGGAGGGTTGCGTTGATTAGCTATATCAATAAAAGTCTTATTCTCTGTGGAAGTCCTTTTAGTGTGATTACCACTAAGATACGATCACTGATGCTCTCACCTGCTTCTCTGAGTGCTGCTATTGTCTCCTCAAGAAATGAGAGAGATTCCATAGCACTGCCGCCATTCTCTAGTCTTTTGGTGAAGAATGACATTAATAAAGCATACAGCCTCTGGTCTGATTCCCTTAGGTAATACTTTCGTAGTACTGCCAAAGCCTTCCCGCCATCTCCTTTCGCTTCACGTTTTATCATGCCAGGTGACGTTCTGTCAAGACAACCAGTTAAATGACTGTAGATTGTCCTTTTGGCACAATCTATAACCTTCTGGACGTTCTGAAGCATACTTATCGAGCGCGAGATGTAGTTCCAATATGTCCAACGCGCCGAGGAAGTGCTCTTCCCACAAATCATATTTGTTTGCATCACCATCAAACTGCTTAAATCTGGGCCCATAACCTGTTGGCGTAGTGGGAGAACTCATCTTCCATGCGTGTATTAAGCAAGTTTGACGTGCCAATGCATATATGATTTTCTGTGGGGATCAGTACAACACAGCGTTGATGCGCTTAACTCTAACGTGGCACTACGTAGGTTGTTTACATTACACGAGTATAAAAATTTGCCGTAAGATGGCGTACATAAAAGAAAATATACTTTTATATGGGTAACTTAACAAACTATAACTTTACCTTAGTTTAGGTAATATGAGGTATACCATAGACATATATGAGGTATACTTATAGTAATAAACATCTTTAATTACTCTAACATATATATATATATATATATATATATATATATATATGTGTGTGTGTGTGTGTGTGTGTGTTGTGTGTGGTGTGTGTGTGTGTGTGTGTGTGTGGTAAAAAAACCCACAATGCACAAACTAGATTTATTAAAGAAAGTGTATATATACACATACATATAATAATATATATATATATTATATATATATATATATATATATTATATATATATATATATATATATTAATGTTGTGTGTGTGTGTGAGTGTGTGCACATGCACACAGTCATTGTTGAAGCCGATCCCGTATAGAACAGGTACGATGTCCACGTGTACTGCTCAAGTTGCAAGATATCACAGGAAATCTGATTTCCACTACTGGTAACATATATATGTATATATGTATGTATGTTTATATATGTGTGTGTGTATGCCTTCATGTTTATACGTATATATTCATCTTTATATATATACGCTCACACACATGTATATATTTATTCATGTATATTCATGTGTATATATATTTACATCTAATGTGTATACATTCATATTTCTATTATACATATACAAACGTATATACATATGCATTCATACATGTATATATGTATATATATAGTCATATATATATACATATTCATCTTTATACACATTCATATATATGCGTTTGTTTGTGTGTCTTTATACGTATATGCTCACAGTAATATTGAAGCCATTCCCGTATAGAACAGGTACGGTGTTCTACCTCTGAATAGATGTATATTTTTTTGATAAATCAAGTTTACAGGTTCAGTGTCGCATGTTATACATCTAATACATTTTCTAGAAAGAGATGCGGGTGCATTTTATGTTATATCATTTGCTTAATGATATATATATTGCATACTGTTTTATCCAGTCTACAATGGACTGTCTCGGAGACAGCAGGTTACACTAACCAGGCTACGCATAGTGCAAGATGTTGTTTTGGAGGCAAAGCCAGTTTCAAATCGCCACTGCAAAATGTGCAGGGCGCCCAAGTCGCATAATCCATATTACTTTGTTGCTTGAAAATTGCATCATGTCGATCAAGCAACAGTCTAGAGACCAGGACTTATTGATTATATTAATAATATTATAGACAGTGGTCTAGTCTTTGATATGGTTAGGGATATTATTTTATTTCCATCTAGTTGATATGCGAATTATGTAAACACAATGACACAGCCCTTCAGGCATGTATGACTCATGTTTGGTCGACAGCTCTTTACATAGATATAAGCATATCCAGTTTTCTCTGTCTGCCTCTCACTCCTTTTCTCTATCTGTTTCCCTCTCTCTCTTTGTCTTCTTTCCTCCCTCTCTATTTATATATTTTTCTCTCTCTTGTTCCTCTTTCTTTCACTTATCAACTTACTGTGGCGTAGAAGCCATCGAAATACACACGTTTTTTCTGCTAACACTTTTTACAGTGCATGAAACATCAAAATAAAGTATTTACATATCACTCGGGTATTTTCTTACAATAACGTATCGGCGATGTTGTATCAGCAATACATGTATTAGAATCAAAATCTTTTTATGTGTCTTCGAAAAGTATCAATGCATCGGTATTGCATTAGACAGTTCTGTATATCGATGCCCATCTCTCTCTCTCTCTCTCTCTCTCTCTCTCTCTCTCTCTCTCTCTCTCTCTCTATATATATATATATATATATATATATATATATATATATATATATATATATATATTATATATATTATATATATATATATATGTGTGTGTGTGTGTGTGTGTGTGTGTGTGTGTGTGTGTGTGTGTGTGTCTGTGTGTTTGTGTGTTTATACGAAAATTGATGTATAACAATGTATATTTATTTTCCATTCTCTATCTGTATATATATATATATATATATTATATATAATATATATATATATATATATATATATATATACGCAGATTATTTTGCTGAAGCCTTTCCTGTATAAAACAGGAATGATGCCCACGTGTACTCAAGTTGCAAGATATCATAAGGTATAAGGATTTCCAGATTTCCACTACCGGTATTTTATATACATATACATTTAAGTATATGTACACAATATATATACATACATACATAATATATATATATATATATATATATATATATATATATATATATATATATATATATATATCACTTTCATCATCTGTAGCGGAAATTTATTTGTCTGGTAGTATCATGGTTTTTAAGCATTGTTCGCCGGTGTTCGCTCCGTTCCTGAACAGTCGTCAGCTCGCTACCTAGCAAGACGCACACACGGAAGGACAGCAAGGAAAGGGGAAAATAAGAAATTTTCTTACGTTCAGAATGAAGCGGAACGCACTCATTCTCATTTTGCTGCTTTTCTCTCCACTCTCGATTTCGGCCAAGAAGGTAAGTACTCACGGCTAGCTCTTCCTCATTAGCCCTATACCCCTCCTTAATAGCTGTTTTACTGATGCAGCATAAGGAAATAACAGTAAATACAAGTTGTTGGCTATCAACATCTTGAAATAAACAATGAAACGATGGAATATTATCGAAATCAGTTGAAAATGCGCGGGCCCTAAGCCCCTCCCACCATACCTTTTCCTTCGTCTATCGACACCGGTTTCGAAGGTCACACTTCTTTAGATATTTGATATTAATTGATATTGACTACATTTAAAAGGATATATAAGATTGCGCCTACATCTTCATTATTCGTTAGCACTCGGAGGATCCTCCAGAATTGCAGGGTATATAGGAGTGCCGAGTTCTGTGGTACTGACCATAGATTGGTTGTGGCTACCCTCCGGGTCCACTTCATAACTCCCTAGCGGTCCAATGATCACCCTAGGGTTTTTCATTTGGACAGGCTGATGGAGTGTGCCCGTGGGTTTTCTAAAGCAGTCTCTGGTCGTTTCACAACGCTTGACAATCTTACTGACCCTGTACTTCTGTGGGATACCTTCAATCACTTCATGCAGCTCAAGAAGCAATACAGAATTTCCTCTCGCAGGAGACACTGGAAGCCACAGATGCTTGTCGTACGGCTCGTCTGACAGGGGATCGGGATTTTCACCATTCTCAGGTGCGCAGAACTCGGTCACTGTTAAGAAGGGACAATGAACAGTTTATTAGGAATCTTGCAAAGGAGGTAGAAGGCCATTTCTTAGAAAATGACCTTCGTCCTGTATACCAAGCCCTGAGAAAGCTGAACTCCAGGCCCTCTTCACAGGTGACAGCAGTTCGCTTAGTAAGTGGCCAGATTGTCTCAAATCCTGTTGCAGTGTGGGAGCGTTGGGCTGAGTATTTTGAGCAGTTGTACCAGGTTGATCCACCAACAGTTAACTTGGATGCGGGTAGTGCCGAGATTCCGTTGCCGGACCCACCCATCAGTGAGGATCAAGCTGACGAGTGGTAAAGCAGCAGGTATCTGTGGCATACCAGCTAAACTGTGAAAGGCTGGTGGTGAACCTATGGCGCAGGGGTTACATGCTGTCTTGGCTGCCATCTGGCTGTCCGGTACCATTCCTCCTGACCTGTTGAGGGGTGTGGTCATCCCTCTCTTGAAGGGGAAGGGGGACCGTTGGGACTGCAGCAATGACCGAGGCATTACACTGCTCAGTATACCAGACAAGGTTGTCGTCCACATCCTTCTGAGACGTATCAAAGACCACTTACTGAGGCACCAGAGGCCAGAGCAATCTAGATTCACTCCTGATAAGTCCACAATAGTCCTTATCTTCGAGCTTCGAGTCACTGTAGAGCACCGTCGTGAGTTCGGACATGGGCTGCTTGCAGCCTACATCGACCCTAAGAAGGCGTTCGATACGGTGTATCGGGAATCACTCTGGGAGATCCTAAGACAGAGGAATTCCAACAAGGATTAGTGGACTAATAGCAAGTTTGTATACTGGTACCAAAAATGCTGTTAAGTGTTGGGGGGCCTGTCGAGCTTCTTTCCTGTTAGTTCAGGAGTGAGACAAGGCTGTGTCCTTGTACCAAGTCTTTTCAACACTTGCATGGACTAGATACTGGACAGAGCTACTATTCAAAGTCATTGTGGAGCAGCTCTGGGCAATATCAAGGTTGCTGACCTTGCCATTGCTGATGATGT